GAGTCAGCCTCAAACATATTGATGTAGCCTCTTAAGACATAAAAAAAAATGATGGAAGGTTGCAGCCCAGAGCTTTGCTCATTAATGTTTCTACCTGTTCGGACTTCCATCAATTTGCTTCTAATAAATGAGAATTTTATAACCAGACGCAACATTCATGACTCTGCTGGCTGCCTTTTTAACAGCCCACCCATCTGCAAGCTCTCAGAAATTTACCTCACCGTCCCCTTCATTCTCTTCTCAGCCTTATTTCAAAATCCACGCACATTGGGTCACTTTGAAAGCCTGAATGCCTTCACACGTAAGACTAGGCTCCGTGGACTAGGTGTGCTGCGTGAGACTTTGGAACACAACATAGCGAAAAGAAAAGGGCTGGTTTGAAGACCTCTGGTCTAGTCCAATTAAAACAACTTTATTTTATTTTCCAAAATAAAGCAATTATGCACCTGAAATTTTGGCCTTGCTTTAGATGATATTATTTAAAGGCAACTTTCTGGCAAACTGATAAATATCTAAAGCTCACCCACATTTTCCATAAAAACAAAACACTACACCAGTGATGGCTAACCTTTTCCCCATCACGTGCCAAAAGGAGGGGAGCACAGGGGGGTCATAAGCAGTCGTGCCCACAGCCATATTCTATGTGTGATTCCCCCCCATCCCCCCCAGACTTTTGGCACACAATGGGCCCGTTTTTCACCTTCCCCGGGCTCCAGAGGCTTTTTAGAAGCCTGGGGAGGGCGAACACAGCCTCCCACGCCCACCCCTGGAGACCTTCCGGAGGCTTCAGGAAAAACACCCCTATAGGAAACCCAGGAATATTGCCTTAGGGAAAAAATGGCCCTACGGGCAACCCGGAAGTTCAGGAATGGACTTTCACTTTACTTGTAAGGGAATTTTTTCGCCCCCTGGAGACTTCAGGAGACTTCCCTGTATTGATAAGGGGGGAAAGCGCAAAAATACATAAAATGGCCACAGAAGCTCAGGCAAAACTGCAAGGGGGTGTGCCCAGGGCAAGAGCTATTGT